TTTCTGAGTGGAGAGAGGTAACTAGTGGGGTCCCCCAAGGGTCTGTCCTGGGACCAATTCTATTCAACTTATTTATAAATGATCTGGAGAAAGGGGAAACAGTGAGGTGGCAAAATTTGCAGATGATACTAAACTGCTCAAGATCGTTAAGACCAAAGCAGACTGTGAAGAGCTTCAAAAAGATCTCACCAAACTAAGTGATTGGGTATCAAAATGGCAAATGAAATTTAATGTTGATAAATGTAAAGTAATGCACACTGGAAAAAAATAATCCCAACTATACATACAATATGATGGGAACTAATTTAGCTACAATTACTTGAGAGAGATCTTGGAGTCACTGTGGCTAGTTCTCTGAAAACATCCACTCCGTGTGCAGCGGCAGTCAGAAAAGCAAAAGGACGTTAGGAGTCATTAAAAAAGGGATAGAGAATAACACAGTGAATAGCTTATTGCCTCTATATAAATCCATGGTATGCCCACATCTTGAATACTGTGTACAGATGTGGTTGCCTCAGCTCAAAAAAGATATATTGGCATTGGCAAAGGTTCAGAGAAGGGCAACAAAAATTATAGGGGTTTGGAACGGATCCCATATGAAGAGAGATTAAAAAGACTTGGACTTTTCAGCTTGGAAAAGAGGAGATTAAGGGGGGATATGATAGAGGTCTATACAATCATGACTGGTATGGAAAAAGTGAATAAGGAAAAGTTATTTACTTATTCCCACAATAAAAGAATGCGTGGTCACTGAATGAAATTCATAGGCAGCAGGTTTAAACCAAACAAAAGGAAGTTTTTCTTCACTCAGCGCACAGTCAACCTGTGGAACTCCTTGCCAGAGGATGCGGTGAAAGCTAGAACTTTAACAGGGTTCAAAAAAGAGCTAGATAGATTCATGGAGGTTAGGTTAATCAATGGCTATTAGCCAGGATGGGTAGGAATGGTGTCCCTAGCCTCTCTTTCTCTGGAGGTGGGTGACAGGGGAGGGATCACTTGATTACCTGTTGTGATCCCTCCCTCTGGGGCACCTGGTGCTGGCCACTGTCGGCAGACAGGATACTGGACTAGATGGACCTTTGGTCTGACCCAGTCTGGCTGTTCTTATGTTCTTAAAAGAGTGCACGTCTACACAGCAAGCCCAGTATTTTTAAATAATTTCAAAATCACAGGCTTATTCCAACTTCTGTCACCCTCATTTCACGAAGCGTAAAGGAAGCCAGAGGAAGAGGGCTTTTCCTCTGACTTCCTGCTGCATAGACAGCACCAAAAGCCGAGTTAAGCTACTTTGACTCCAGCTGTGCAATTAACGTAGCTGACATTGCAAAGCTTAACTCGACTTTAGCCCGCAGCGTAGACTTGCCCTTAATGGGCAAAACCTACTTCTTCAGATGAGCTTGAGAGGAGAAAAAATGGGAACTATCAGAATTATACCAGAAAAAGGAGAGAGGAAAGGGAAAAAATGTACCTGTCAATAGTAGCACCAGTGCTAATGAGGCTAATTGAGTGGGCTAGAAGTGTCCCATAATTAGCTTTAGATGTCAACATGGTGTTAAATGCAAGGAAGACTGGCTTTATAACAGGCCAGCCAGTTGGTGTCTTTGTTAAGGCCGGGTGATTTTATAGTTTTGCTGCCATGACTCTTCTTAGCACCTGGAGCCAATGGTCTCTGCTCTGCTGGGAATGAAACAGGAGGGGAGTGGGGGAGAGGAGGGGGGGGGGGACAGGAAAATAAAGAAGGGGAGAAGGAGCCAAACTAAGGAGAAAAGAATAGAAATGTGCCCTCCCTTTACACTTAATAAATCGCATATGACTTTCACTCTGCACCAGAATGAATAGTACAGGGATTGAGAAGCAGCAGGGGCCTGGGGCCAGAGCACTGGATCGAGCCTTGGACCATCTGGATTCTGCTCCCAATGGCTACTTGCCTGCAGTGTGAACCTGAGCATGGTTCCTTTCTCTCTTCTGCAGTTTCCCATCTCCAGCTAGCTCTGCATGCCTGGTTAGACTGTGAACTGTTCAGGGTTGGGGCTGTGCATATGTGCAGCACCAGATACCACAGGCTCCCATCTCAGCTGGAGCCTCTAATTCTATTAGGGCGACGTCTCCACTGGCAGCTTCTTGTGCAAAAACTCTTCCAGAAGAGAGCGTCTACACTGGCATGTGTTTTTGCACAAGAGATGTGCTTTTGTGCAAGAGCATCCATGCCAGTGTAGATGCTCTCTTGCACAAGAAATCTCTGATGGCCATTTTAACCATAGGGCTTTCTTGCGCAAGAAATTCATGTTGACTGTCTACACTGGCCTCTTGCACAAGAACAGTTGCACAAGAGGGCTTATTCCTGAGCGGGAGCATCATAGTTCCTGCGCAAGAAGCCCTGATTTTATACAGTAGAACGTCAGTTTACTTGCGCAAGAACACACGGCCATATAGACAGGCAGATCTCGCGCTTTGGCGCAAGATCGCGGCAGTGTAGACACAGCCCTACACTATAAAAAATAACAGGCATAGAGCTACACCGAAGATTGTGTGTAGGTCCTACATCAACACTGGCTTTTACCAAAGCCCTACAGTTGGATTGAGAAACAGAACGTAAAAGCAAGTGAGTTTTGTACGCTCCTGTGCAACCCCTCGGTGTGATCTCACTTCAGCTGCCTGTCCCTCAGTTTCCCAATCTGCTGGGAAAGGACACGTGAGATGAGGATGGACACAAGGCCCCTGGCCTGCACGTTTCACAGCCTAAATACCCAGATGAAGGGCGCGGCAAAACAAGCAAGGGAGCAGCGACATGGTCAGGCCCCCGATTACTGTGTCAATATTTTATGGCCGTTTCGGTCACGGGCCAGGCACCCGCAGCCCCAGCCCCCCTGCCCCGCACGTGCCACAGAGGGAACCGTCTGTCCACGGACCTAGGTCCGGGCTGTGGGTGAACCCTTGGGCCAGGCAACCGCCTCGTGCGAACCCCCCAGCGGCGGCGGGACGGTCGGAACAGGCAGAGACCTGGAGCCTCCCGAGCCGGGCTAAGCCACCCACCCTTCCCGGCCCAAGCGGTCAGCTGACTGGAAAAGCACCTGATAGGCCGAGGGCGAGCACTCTGCGGTCAGCTGACTGGGCCGGGGAGCAGCTGATAGGCTGATAGGCTGCGAGGCGAGAACTCTGCGGTCAGCTGACTGAGCCGGGGAGCAGCTGATAGGCTGATAGGCTGCGAGGCGAGAACTCTGCGGTCAGCTGACTGAGCCGGGGAGCAGCTGATAGGCTGATAGGCTGCGAGGCGAGAACTCTGCGGTCAGCTGACTGAGCCGGGGAGCAGCTGATAGGCTGATAGGCTGCGAGGCGAGAACTCTGCGGTCAGCTGACTGAGCCGGGGAGCAGCTGATAGGCTGATAGGCTGCGAGGCGAGAACTCTGCGGTCAGCTGACTGAGCCGGGGAGCAGCTGATAGGCTGATAGGCTGCGAGGCGAGAACTCTGCGGTCAGCTGACTGAGCCGGGGAGCAGCTGATAGGCTGATAGGCTGCGAGGCGAGAACTCTGCGGTCAGCTGACTGAGCCGGGGAGCAGCTGATAGGCTGATAGGCTGCGAGGCGAGAACTCTGAGCGCTCTCCCGCCCCTGATGCGTGTGCTCGGGATAGTTGATTCCGCTGCTTCAGCGGGCAGCCCGGGAGCCTGTAGGGGCCAGACGGGAAATGCTGCCGTCTCCCCAAAGGGCCGCGCCGCATGGCGGGACAGGCGGGAATCCCTTGATTGTATCTTTCTTCTGAAGCACCCGGCACCAGCAAGGGCTGGGGTCAGGATGCCAGGTGTGTGGGGCCGTTGCTTTAGCAGCCCCGGGGTTTGCAAACCAGGGTGCAATAAAAGCTCCAGCTCTTCACGTGCAGGGGAATGGATGGGATCATAGAGCTGGCAGAGACATCAGAAGGCCATCAAGTCCAACCCCTTGCCCAAGGCAGGACCAGTCCCAAGTAAATCAACCCAGCCAGGGCTTTGTCTTAAAAGCCTCTAGGGATGGAGATTCCACCCCCTCCCTAGGGAACCCATCCCAGTGCTTCACCACTCCCCTAGTGAAATAGTTTTTCCTAATATCCAACCTGGACCTCTCCCACCACAACTTGAGCCCATTGCTCCTTGTTCTGCCATCTGTCACTACTGAGAATAGCCTCTCTCCAGCCTCTTTGGAACCTCCCTTCAGGAAGTTGAAGGCTGCTATCAAATTCCCCCCCTCTCTCTTCTCTTCTTCAGACTAAACAAACCCAAATCCCTCAGTCTCTCCTCATAGGTCATGTGCCCTAGCCCCTGATCATTTTGTTTGCTCTCCGTTGGCCCCTCCAATGTATCCACATCCTTTCTATAGTGTTGGGCCCAGAAATGGACACAATACTCCAGATGTGACCTCATTAGAGCCGAATAAAGGGGAATAATCACTTATCTGGATCTGCTGGCAATGCTCCTCCTAATGCACCCTAATATGCTATTAGCCTTCTTGGCTACAAGGGCACACTGTTGACTCATATCCAGCTTCTCATCCACTGTCATCCCCAGGTCCTTTTCTGCAGAACTGCTACTTAGCCATTCGGTCCCCAGCCTGTAACAATGCTTGGGATTCTTCCGTCCCGAGTGCAGGACTCTACACATGTCCTTGTTGAACCCCATCAGATTTCTTTTGGCACATCCTCTAATCTGTCCAGGTCACTCTGGACCCTATCCCTGCCCTCCAGCGTATCTACCTCTCCCCCTAGCTTAGTGCCATCTGCAAACTTGCTGAGGATGCAGTCCATCCCCTCATCCAGGTCATTAATAAAGATGTTGAACAAAACTGGGAGCACTTGGGGCACTCTAGGGTACAATCCATCCCCTCATCCAGGTCATTAATAAAGATGTTGAATAAAACTGGGAGCACTTGGGGCACTCCGCTAGAAATAGGATGGGAAAGGGTGGTTTCCGAGCCATGTTAACATTAACCATCAGGGGAGAGGAATTGACTGTCCTGTTCCCCTTGACCCTGATGTCTGCCCCCTGCTCTGAGCAGCTTCTGCTTGGTTCTGAAGCTTGTGAGTTTGTGTACGGGAGCTGCCAGGTACTTGCCCTCTTGTTCTGACCGTGTCATTGCATCTGCCCCAGGTGCAGGCCTCTGGTCTGTACCAGCGTTGGCTGGGTGAAACTCCTGAAGCTGCAGCCTAGCTGGTGGCTGTTGGGATTAGCAGAGATTTAGGAGCAGGAAGAAGCCATCTGCCCTGTCATAGCTTTGCCCCACCCCTTCATTCAGGTTGATCCCTCCAAACAGACCCCTCTCCTTTACATCCCTTTCCTTTCCCAGGGATGGGTCTGGCTCTTTCAGACTCTGGGCCCAATTTTGCCCTGGGGAAAGCCCATTAAATTCAGGGCAGTTGCATCCCCCGCTGCTTCCGGGCGCTCTGCCCAGCAGCTCCAAAGGCTGATGGCTTCTACGCACGGGGTTTGTGGGAGTGTATTTTACAGTGGGGCAAGGGGCCTGGTTATTTGTCCTGCTCGGGATTGACGTAGTTGCAGTGGGACTCTGCAGCAGGCGTAGACAGAGCAGAGGCTGATGAGGCAGTGAAGTACCCAGAGAGGAGAGAAAGCTGGGGACAGGCAGCTGGAGGTGGGAAATGAGGGTCCCCTGGCTCTGGCAAGAAGAGGTGAGCTGCCCTGCAAAAGACAGTGCCACTGGCGTCCCCTGGGTCCTAACTGCCCCCTGATCTTCTCCTTCCAGAGGTTCCGGTTCTGCGGAGACTTGGACTGTCCCGACTGGGTCCTGGCTGAGATCAGCACCTTGGCCAAAATAGTTAAGTGGAAAGTTTTTTGCCTTCTGGTTTCTTCCGGTTCTTACTTGGTGGCCGGCACCTTAGGGCCTGAGCAATGTGCCCTGAGCCCCCACTCCCCGGAGATGGGACCCGATGGGCAGCAAGGAGCTTTTACCCATAGGAGGGCCAGGGCCATGGCTATGGCCTGGGGGAGCACCGGAAATATCTTAGTGATGCCTCTTCGTGCTCTGGGCCCTGGGGTGTGTGGTGAAGGGGGAGACTCCCGTCCCAGTGGCCAGCGTGAGCTCTGGCACCGGGCGCTGGCTGAATACGGTCAGAACAGGCTTTACCTGGGGGCTCGTTGCATCTTAAACTCAGGGAGCCTCTTTGTGGAACCCAAACCAGGATGTGCCCCAAGTAGCAGCGAATCGAGGGGCTTAAAACCGACCCCAATCAGAGGCTTCCTGGCTGGGGCAAGACAGGCCTGAAACGTGAGTGGTGAGGCTGGGGGGGGGGGTGTTTTGCGGGGAGCTCAGACTCCTCCCAGCCAGCGCCCCTGGGGCCCAGCACAGCTGGGAAGCTTCATTTTCTTGCTCTCTCCTTTCCAGTCCTCGGTGAAGCTGAAGCTGATCTGTGGCCAGGTGCTGAAGGACTTGCAAGGCGAGGGGATTGATGTAAGTGACGGGCACCGTTCAGCCCTGCTGAGCAGGGAGCCCGTGGTCAGAGACTCGGGTCTCCCCTCCCAGTCGAGCTGGCTGGCCTCAGGGCAGGCAGCAGGGTGGAGTGGGTAGAGATCGGTGTGGGAGTCCGGATACCTGCGATCTAGTCCCAGCTCTGCCACTGAGCTGTAAAATCAGACCAGTGATGCTCCCCCACTGGGGAGACCTGCTGCTAGGAAGGGCCGTACGGCTGCTAAGTATCAATAGTGAGTATTAGCGTGTGCTGCTCTGGGGGTCCTGTGTGGTCTGCTTCCTCTCCTCGGGCCTGTCATCGCTAGGGAAATGGCCGGTGGTGACAACACATCCCCCTGAGCTCTCCCAGCGAGGGAGTTGGGCTGCTAGTGGACGTGGGACTGAGCTGTTTGGTAACGCCCATCCCAGACAGTAGCTGGGCCGCTGTTTGGATCATGTTGATTCCCAGTGAGGGGTGCCAGGAGCACCGATAGCAGGTGGAAAGGGCCCATCCTGCTCCCTCCACTGCAGGCAGCTTGGCCTAGTGGGAACCAAGAACCCAGCAGTTCTAGTCCCAGATCGGTGTCGTGTGGCCTCGAGCAAGTTATTTAAGCTCAATCCAGCAGCTTCTGGTCATTTGGGTCCCCCCTTGTCACCTGGGCCTGTTACTCAGAAGTGTCAAGCCCCCATCGCTCCTGTTGATTCCCCTGAAAGCAGAGGCCCCTTGTGGCGTGTTGGCCTTAGCCAGGCTTGGCCCACTCTGGGGTTCTAGTCCCAGATCGGTGTCGTGTGGCCTCGAGCAAGTTATTTAAGCTCAATCCAGCAGCTTCTGGTCATTTGGGTCCCCCCTTGTCACCTGGGCCTGTTACTCAGAAGTGTCAAGCCCCCATCGCTCCTGTTGATTCCCCTGAAAGCAGAGGCCCCTTGTGGCGTGTTGGCCTTAGCCAGGCTTGGCCCACTCTGGGCCGCTCCTGGCGGGGGGGGGTCCCACCTCGGCATGCGGAGCGTTCTGCACTATCCCAGGGCTGATGGCACGTGGGTGCTGCTTTTCTCTTGCAGTATGAAAAGATCCTGAAGCTAACGTCGGATACCAAGTTCGGTGAGTGTGGTTCCGTCCCAGAACCGCTGGGGGCCCATAGCCTCCCCACCCCCCGGTGCCATCCGTGAGGACTCACTGTGGATTCAGATCTTTGCCTTCTGACATCCAGGGGGACTGTGCACTTGACTCCCACTCTCCCCCCCCCATACACCTTTGCCCCCCATGTCAGTCCCCTGGCCCATCGTGGCTTTTCACCCAGGTTGATGACACTGGACCCAGCTCTCGCTCCCTGTTTGCGGCCGCTCGTGGCCTGGTGGGAGGTGGCGTCTGTCCATGCCCCCTCTCTAGTCTCATGTCAAAGGCCGTTGGACTCTACGTCCCTGGAGACGGACCCTTGGCAGGCCTCCCTGCCGTGCTGCAGAGCCCCGAAGGTTTCTCCTCCTCCCACCAGAGTCCGGGGACGTGAAGGCCACCATCGCCGTGCTCAGCTTCATCCTGTCCAGCGCGGCCAAGGTGGGAGGTGGCGTCTGTCCATGCCCCCTCTCTAGTCTCATGTCAAAGGCCGTTGGACTCTACGTCCCTGGAGACGGACCCTTGGCAGGCCTCCCTGCCGTGCTGCAGAGCCCCGAAGGTTTCTCCTCCTCCCACCAGAGTCCGGGGACGTGAAGGCCACCATCGCCGTGCTCAGCTTCATCCTGTCCAGCGCGGCCAAGCACGGCGTGGACAGCGACTCTCTGTCCAGCGAGCTGCAGCAGCTGGGGCTGCCCAAAGGGAGGGAGTCTCT